AAGGGAGGCTGTGCTGAAAGAAACCCGAATGAGTTGCTCACCAATAAAACAATTAGGGAGAGACAAATGATGCAGTTTCTAGGACACGTGAGTACACTTTAAGGCCTTTAACATCTTATTCTCACTGGGAACAAAATTGAAGGAAAAAAGGGGCAAGGGTTCACTAAGGACGTCTTTCGGGGAGATTTTGACCAATGTGTGACAGGAAGAGACCAGGATAATAATATTATATGGGGTTGTTTTTTTAGTGCACCTGAAAAGAGAAATTTAAGGAGCGGCTAACTATAATCGCTGATGTCTGTCTCAAATTCGGCACACCATGATGATAATGACAAACTCTTTCGTGTTGTTTTTTAATTCGTCCCACTCTTTGAATTGTGGGTCTTCATAAAGTATGGCCTCTGTAAACTCAGGATCACGCCATCAGAGTTGGTTTAACTTGTAATTACGGGTCCTTACAAAACAGTAAGCAACCAAGAATGCTTTATTCAATCTCTTCAGACATAAGCTTGAAGCCATTACATCTGCCACGTTTTCATTTTCTCTCTATACTTGTGAAGGGAGCCACAAGTAGGTCCTATTTCTTTTCTTTCACCCTATTATTTCTGTTGGCCCATCTTGCTTTACCCGGCCACAAAATCGCCTTAGTGTGGTTGGAGGGTGCTACTGGTGGGTGCTGTTTCTTCGCTTCTTTCTATCTGTTGTCTCTGTCTGTGTGTCTGTCTTGCTTTTTCCCTGCACTAAATGCCCATTATTGTATCGGTGTGCTTCTCTTTACTCAAAAAGAGCAACAAACCGAAATAGCCGTAAAATGCTTCTCTTCACTCAACTAAAATCTTTGCCCAAACGTTAAACTAAATACATGTATTGGGGGGGAGGGGGGTAATCATTTTTTGCTTTGACGTGGGACCTGGCGTCTTGTAGTTACTGATTTGGTGCAGACCACGTCGATGGACATCGTTGGCATATATATACATATATGTTTCTCGCCCCTGATACTTGGGAAGCTGAAATCAAGCTCAGAGCTTTCCTTGAGATGAATGAACATCTCAAGGGTCCAGCGCGCATGTCTATTACACTGGGGCAGCGGACCAAGGGGGAAAAGCGACCCATGCCAACTGATTACTAAAAATTCAAATTTTATCATCATCAATATCACCATCATCGTCATCATCATCATCATCAGAAGAAGAAGAAGAAGAAGAAGAAGAAGAAGAAGAAGAAGAAGAAGAAGAAG